CATAATGGACAAGAATAAAAGTCATTCTTTTACGCTGGATTCATTTATATATGATCATACTGGAGTCAACCAACTACACTTAAAACAAGACTATCTAGAGGAACACTATCGATAATCTATACTGAATTAAAAGTACACTTGACCCCTACTCGCTCGCCTGTAACAATATATATATATATATATATATATATATAAGTATCTTCCGATCCACACAAATGTATTAGGGTTAATTATGATCATAAGATGTACATGTATAACCGATTTAGGCTATACTGTATATCTATAATGATATACTAGAAAGGAGGCGAAAGATACATAGGGGACATCCAAAACTTATGAGTCGAAGAAAAGCTGACAATGCAATTGCTTAAAAACGAAATACGACAAAAAGACGAACAAGTCCAAACAAATTATATATAAAAAAGTAAAGATTGAACTAGCGGCTCTACAATGCATGCGTACATGAATATATTTCAATATTTTCAGGTAACCTTGTTTTTAGAACTTTATTCTTACTATTATGACTGAAACATTTGTTTTTAAAAACAAGACGATGTGGTTTGATTGCCAATGAGACTACTCAACATTAGAGACCAAATAATATATATGTGAACACCATACGGCCTTCAACAATGAGCAAAATCCATACAGCATAGTCAGCTGTAAAAGGCTTAGTTTGGTGATTAAAAGTATAAAAACATTAGCAAACCAATCTTTGTGTTCAATAAACTGTACTTTTGTTGTTTACATGTTACAATTAAACCTTATTGTGGTAGAATGTTTTACATTAATATTTATTTTCTTTCAGAATAATTAATATTACATGTAATAGTTTTATTAAGTGTATTTTAAGAATTCATCAATTCTTCTATTCTCTTATACAATCTTATTTTCTTGGTATGTTATATCTTCTTAGTACTGTAGTTCTACTCTATTTTTCTGGTTCATTAGCCAGTCAGTCATGTGTCATATTATCTTGTCTTCTATTGGTCATAGTCACTGAGTTAAAAGTTTTACCACACTTTTTTGAATACCTTGAGAGAAAGCTATACAATACAGCAGCCATATTTAAATAAGTTATATACATTATATTCTGGATACTAATTCCACATAAATCAGGTCAGTTACTAATATTTCTAAGTCTTAATATTTACACAGTTTTCCTTTAGTTTGAATCTGAGAGAAAATGTATTTTTGATTAAGTCAGAATGATTGTGCATGAACGATAGATATTTTTTTTTAAAGAAGTATTTTCATGAACTCAGAGAATTAATATATCATAGATATATTAATGATACATGTATTGGTACAGTTATATTATTATTATAAAAGGTCTAAAGCAATGTCTATTGAACATTATACTTATTGTGTATAAATGTTATGCAGATATAATTTAGTTCATTAGACTTATGTAGGTTATATTTGTATTTTAAACAGGACCAGAATATCTCGATGTTATTGTGATCTGGTGATGCTTCAAAATAGGAGATAGACCTTTGTACCATATACATGGTAAGATCAGTGTTTTCAATGTATTTTTAGTTTACTGTTTTGTCCGTGTTTGTCTATTTAATTTAAGTTCAGTAAATGTATTGTTTGTGTCTTGTGAATAGTAGTTACCTGTATGTCAATAATTACATGTAAACATTATAGTATCAAATAGTTCATTCATAAATCAATGAATGATTAACGTAAGATTATTGGACATAATGTAGCACTTAATCCTGACTTGGTTTACAATTAAGTTTGATTGAATTTATATATTTATAAAATATACACTTTAATAGTATTGGTTGTATTCTTATAGAAAAGAGCCAGTTTATCGTATTTTATACATGTACTTTCCGTTATAAGAATTAGAGTTATATCCCTTTGTACATCGTATTGTCTATGTATTTATGTTTTGTTATTTGTGTACTTTCAGGGTCATTTATATATGTCGTATAAATAAACATCTTAAACATCTAGACGAATCATTTTATTCCGTCCAAGAACCCTGTTACATTTGGCGCCCACTAGTAGGTTAGACGTTCAACGACATATTTCCTTTTGGAGCCTTACTGAAGGTCAGGATCTAGGACGTGACATCCACCGGAAGATTGGAAAAATCGGACGAAAAAAATCAACACGTTGGTGAAAATTGTTTATTGTACAGACTATAAGCTGTTTTATAAATTGTTTATGTTATGAAATGGTGAGAATATACACATAGTTTACACTATATATAAATATTTTGCCAATATTTGGTATCAGAAAGCAACTATTGAAGAAAAACATTGACTTTGAAAACATCCAAAATTTGAGTTTGGCCATTATCATGCATGTTTTGTGTTGATATTGTATACTATTGTACTGTTTATAAATTTTCTTTGTTTGAATAATACTGACAACTAGTCTGCTTGTCCAAACTTAGAAAATTATTGAAATCCAGCTGGTATATTTACACTTGACTTTGTGTTTTGTACTTAGCCATTTTTATTTGTTTACATTGTGTACTATTGATTGGTAGGTGTTACATTCCTGTTGGTGTTTGTTCTTTTCATTCACTTACACTTTGTTAACACGCATACACATCAATAGTTAGATACTGTTGTACTGAATTGGTATTATTTATGAGCAAGTGTACTTAGATTATTTTTCATATTTATATAAGAAAAAATATTTTGATTTGGTATAAGCTTAGTACGTGTGTACTTAGTATTTATTGACATAGTGTATTGCTATACAGGGTAGTCACATATACATTTGTACTTGTACTTAGTATATGAGGGTATAGGTTATTTATTTTATTTGCATGTCTATGTGTTTGTGTGTACTTATGATTGATTGTTGATATGAACCTGTGAGTGACCTTGACCTTTCACATTTTAATAAATTTTCCCTTGCCTTGCCCGACACTTACCCTACTTTGTGCATTGCAGAGCATGTAAATTAATACACTCTTATACACATTTAAAGCCTTACATACACCTGCCAGTCTATAAGTGAACCAGATATAGATAGAGATATATAGATATACTTGAGTGAACTCATAGATTGAGACCAGAAGACATATTTGGTATTTGATCAGAGGATATGATTTGATGTAGAAAGTAACCCAAGCCCTGACATATAAAAAATAACATTACACAGTAGGCTTCGGTTACACAGGAAAACTTAGTATAGTTGTGTCTTGGTCCAACTTTAGTTGTATTTGTTGTCACTATTGCTTATACTTATACTTGTACTTTGACTTTACTTTATATTCGATCTGCTTTACTTTGATATATTGATGAACTTATCTTCACTTTAGTTTTGTTCATATTTATTTATATATAGTACTTGTGTCTTACTTGTAGATATTTACATACTTGTGTTTAGATATTTACATACTTGATATATTTATTCATTTTTTTTTCTCAGGGGAGATAATCAACACTATTATTGAGTTGTCTTTCTTTGTATATTGTGTTTATCATACTTAGGTTATTAATTTTTTTTTGTAATTACAGAAATTAATTGTACTTTACAATTTCATCAGTTATTTGCATGCATATTTTGCATATTAGATATTGACTTATTATTAGTTTGGTTATTCATTTTAGTTGTCTTTTATTATTCATTATTTAACATTTCAGATTATCATTAAATAGCTGACTTTATTTTTTTTTATTGTATTTTGATACTTGTATTTAATCATTATACATAACTTCTTTTACAGTTAGTTTAGTTCCTTGGTACCAGATTAATGATTTAATACTATACTTTGATATTTCAGACCTATTAATTATTATTTAATTTCGGATTTTGATATTTTGATTCACATTTGTATTATTACTTATCTTTACTTTAATTTTCAGTGCTACTGATTTTGAGATTAGATTCTACATTTATTTTATTTTTTTCTCATTGCATATATTATTATTTGTTTACTTTATCCATCATAGTTTATTGGTGATACCTGTAGTTATATCTCATTGCATTTGTGTTTTAGGATATACTTACCATACATTTTTTTTTTTCTCATTGCATATATTATTATTTGTTTACTTTATCCATCATAGTTTATTGGTGATACCTGTAGTTATATCTCATTGCATTTGTGTTTTAGGATATACTTACCAGACATTAGTTTTCACCTTGACTAATTTTGAGTACGAGATAGATTTTTATAGATTTACCAGATAGATTTATATAGGTTTGTCAAATACATTTGTATTAATTTCAGCTATTCATTATCATTACTTTGTATTCATTGAAGGTACTTAACATTACTTTGTATTCATTGAAGGTACTTAACATTACTTTGTATTCATTGAAGGTACTTAACATTACTTTGTATTCATTGAAGGTCATTAACATTATTTATATTCATTTTAGGCACTTAACATTACTTCTTATTAATTATAGGTAATTAATTCTATTTTGTATTAATTTTAGGTACTTAATATATACATTTGGTATTTGTTTTAGGAAATTAATCATATTTTTTTTGTCTTTATTGCAGATTATTAACATTTATTTACTATTTCTTGTAGGATACTAATTTTTTTTCTATATTTATTTCAGATAACTTTGTTTTATTTGTAGGTGCTAATATTTATTATATTTCTTGTAGATTTAGAATATCTTTATTGTAGATTCATTCATATTTTGACATCATGGCCGATGAGGATTACCAACAGCTAGTCGACACCTTGAAGGAAATGCATATAAAACCAAAAGCGGATACACCTGAGGCATTACAACAATGGATTGAGGCTTATGCAATGGAAACACTACAGACGGGGAAACAGAAGCAAACTATTAAGACGGAACCATAATCATCAACATCATCACATTATACTCAGCCACCTAGAATTAACATCTTCTCTGGTAGTAGTGAAAAGAAAGGAGGTGAAACAACATATGAGCTTTGGAAATATGAGGTACTTGGACTCATGAAGGATAAGATCCACTCAGAGGAAGCTATCATCCAAGCCATACGTAGAGCTTTGCGTGGTGAAGCAGGATTAGTAGCAATGCGTTTAGGAGCAGATGCATCATTGACTGAGATCATGACCAAGATGGAAAGTGTTTTTGGCAATGAACTTGAAACCATCATGAGTGACTTTTACAATGCGAAGCAGAAAAAAACCGAGGATGTTTCAGCATGGAGTTGTCGCTTTGAAGGAATACTTGATAAAGCCATCCATTCAGGGAAAGTCAGCAAGCCACAGGCAGATACTATGACGCATGACATGCTTTGGAAAGGACTTAAACCAGATATGAAGCATATAAGCCACTATGAGAAGGAACGCTTTAAGACATTTGATCAATTACGTGTAGCTTTGAGGAGGATTGAGAAAGAACATAATCTTGATGAACTACCAAAGGTGAAAGCAACATCAAAACAGGCCATTGCTAATGAGAAAGAGGAGGAATCTGAACTTGCTGCAACACTAAAGCAAATCAACACACGCCTTGAACAGCTAGAATCTAGACAACCAAATAAGCAACAAGATCAACCAAATCAACAACAACAAGACACAAAACCACAACCGTACCAACAGACATTAAATCAAAACCAGTTTAGAGGTAGAAGTTATAATAGAGGTGGTAGAGGAGATAGAGGTTATGGAAGAGGTAATGGAAGAGGTTATGGCAGAGGTTATGGTAGAGGTTATGGCAGAGGTTTTGGTCAGAATCAACATCAGTCAACATCAGACAACAGTTATAGAACTCAACCTATTACATGTTACCGTTGTGGTAGAGACTCGCACATTGCCAGAGGATGCCGAGCCAACACTGATGTCAAAGGCAAACCTTTAAACTAGATTATGTTATCGACAAAGGGCAGCCGATCGACATGAACATACAAAGCCCTAAACAGAAATTAGGCAAATCAACAATACCACCAGGACTTTGTGGACAGAATCAAAGATTATCATCAAAAGCATTGAAACTTCATCTCTTCTAGATACAGGGTCTACTGTTTCAACAATAGCCTATGAATTTTATACTCAACATTTTACTGACACACCACTCAAACCTTTAGAACAGATTATCAGCATTGAATGCGCAGATGGAAATTCACTACCGTACCATGGATATATTGAGGCCAACATTCAACTGAAAGAAACTGATCAACATTATCAAACCATACTACTTGTCGTACCAGATAGTCCGTATCATTCCAAAGTTCCAGTTCTGTTGGGAACAAATGTATTGACAACCATCATGGATAATTACAAAGATAGATTTGGCAACCGATTTCTTCAGATTTAACAACACCCTGGTATTCTTCTTTTAGATGTATACTACTGAGGGAGAAAGAACTTAGAAAGATGAACAACAGAATAGCATTGATTAAATCAGCTGAATACGAAAGAGTCAGATATCTATTAAAGCCATGACAACCAAAGAATTACCATACCACTTCACATCTGCTATTACTCAACAAACACCTTCATCTATATTACCAACAGATTTGGACATTGAACCATCATTGGTAGATTATAAGTACCAGCACAACGACATGTTTAACATTAGAATTTGCAACATCACTACAAGAACAGTCACCGTTCAACCAAATGCTATAATTGTTGAACTACAACCTGTACTTATACAAGATCAACCTATCAACAAAGAGAAAGAATTTACACCACCGTTATTACAACAAGTAGATATATCCACTGATAATATAACATCACATCAACTTCAACTTGGAAAAGATTTTATCACATCATACCAAGATATATTTTCAAAAGATGATAATGATATTGGACATACCAACATAGTACAACACAAGATTCCGTTAGAGGACGATCGACCATTCAAACAACGATATCGACACATACCGCCTTCAATGTATGAAGATGTAAAGAGCCATTTATACCGAATGCTCCGAGCAGGAATTATTAGAAAGTCTCATAGTCCGTATGCCTCCAACGTTGTTCTAGTAAAGAAGAAGAATGGCACACTTAGAATATGCGTGGACTATAGGGAATTGAATTTAAAGACAAAAAAGGACGCCTATGATTTGCCAAGAATGGATGATATGTTAGACTGCATGGCTCGTAACAAGTACTTCTCAACCGTAGACATGAAGTCAGGTTATCATCAGGTAGAGATACTAGAGGAACATAAGGAGAGGACAGCATTCACCGTATGACCTCTTGGACTCTTCGAGTACAACCGGATGCCTTTCGGACTTGCTTGTGCCCCCGCCACTTATCAATGCTTATGCAGGATTGCCTCAGAGATCTCCACATGCGTATATGTTGCGTTTTCATAGACGATGTCATCATATTTACTAAAACATATGAGGAACACCTAGAGCGACTTGAGATGGTCTTCGACAGATTTCGACAAGCCAACTTGAAGCTTTCGCCATCAAAATGTTCTTTCTTCCAGCCAAAAGTCAAATATGTTGGACATATTGTATCTGAACAGGGAGTGGAAACAGATCCAGAGAAAGTTGAGAAAGTTATGAATTGGCCTACTCCAAAGTCACCTGAAGAAGTACGTAGATTCATCGGTTTTGTAGAATATTACCGCAAGTTCATCCGTAACTTCAGTCAGATAGCAAAGCCACTTACATCCATCATGCCAACTTCTAATGTAAAGAAAGGGAAGAAGAAGACTAAGAAACAACAACAAGAATCATTTCAGTGGACTGATAAGCAAGAAACCGCTTTCACAACATTAAAGCAACTCTTATCTTCAGCACCGATACTTGGGTATGTTGATTACTCCAAACCATTTGAACTGCACACCGATGCCAGTGGTCAAGGCCTTGGTGCCGTACTATATCAAGAGCAAGATGGACATCAACGTGTAATCGCATATGCTAGCAGAGGTTTAACAAAAGCAGAACAGAACTATCCAGCACATAAGATGGAATTTCTTGCACTAAAGTGGTCCATAACTGACAAGTTCCATGACTCCCTCTATGGCCACAAGTTTAGAGTACTCACAGACAACAACCCACTAACATACGTACTCACGTCTGCAAAACTAGATGCTACTGGACATCGTTGGCTCGCTGCACTAGCCGCTTACGATTTCGACATCATCTACCGTCCAGGTAAAACCAATGCAGATGCAGATGGACTATCCAGATTGACAACCATCAGCCAAGATTCCATCAAAGCAATATGTGGATGCATATATACTCCGTTGATTGACTCCTATGCCATATCACCAGATTCTATCGACACCAGTAATTTGGATATGCATATAGATGTTTCAACTGACACTAACTGGTCAGAAGTCCAAGCTATGGATCCTTTGCTTCACACATGGATAAAACAACTGAAATCTGGACAAAAAACAGCAAATGGAAAGATAACACCAAGTCCACTGAATAAACAGTTCAACCATCTCAGACTTATAGATGATATTCTTTACCGAGAGATTACCATCGACGAAAAGATACATCATCAACTTATACTACCATCTTCACACATCAAGTTAATTTTAGAAGCACTTCATGATGAAATGGGTCATCCAGGCAAAGATAGAACTACCAGTCTTATTAGAGAACGATTTTACTGGCCTAGGATGAACAAAGATATTAAAGAATGGATTCAACGTTACGAAAAATGTATCAAGAGAAAGACAGATCCAGAAAGAGCACCACTAGTCAACATCACAACAACTCAGCCAATGGACCTCATATGCATTGACTATCTTACTCTAGAACCATCAAAGGGTGGAATTCAAGACATTTTGGTAATCACCGACCACTTTACACGTTATGCACAGGCTATACCAACACGCAACCAAACTGCAAAGACAACTGCAGAAGCATTACTCAACAACTTCATCGTGCATTATGGTTTATCAAACAGAATTCACTCAGATCAGGGTCCATCCTTTGAAAATAACATCATTCAGGAACTTTGCCGTCTTAAAGGGATAAAGAGGTCAAGAACCACACCATACTATCCGATGGGCAACGGCATGACTGAGAGATTTAACAGAACATTACTGTCAATGCTTGGAACTTTACAGCCAAAAGATAAAACCAACTGGAAAGCTTATGTCGCTCCGTTAGTTCATGCGTACAACTGCACTCGACACGAAGCAACTGGACAATCACCATACTTTCTTATGTTTGGCCGACAACCAAAGCTTCCCATCGACTTAGCATTTGGACTTGTAAAGGAAAAGGATAGGAAACCACAAACTAAGTACATCCAAGAATTGAAGAATAGACTAGTAGATGCATACCAATATAAGAAGGCACATGAGAAACAGAAAGAACAATATGATTTGAAAGTTAGAGGAGTAGTCGTAGAAAAAGGCGATAAAGTACTAGTAAAGAAAGTTGCTTTTGATGGTAAACATAAGTTGAGCGATAAATGGGAGAACAATATCTACCTTGTACTAGAACAACCGAATAAAGATATACCCGTCTACATTGTACAGAAAGATAGTGGCGAGGGGCGTAAGCGAACGTTACATAGGAATCTTTTGCTGCCTGTGGGATATATTTCAAGTCAACCACCGACGACAGAACCAGTACCTAAACCAGTTCCTAGACCGGGAACAAGAATGCAAACGAAAATCAACAAGAACAGCTCGAACACAGACTGTACCATGGAGGAAAGCGATAGCGATAATGATGATTTTGAGATATTTGTACATCAAAGACCAATGGTTCACAACACTTCATCCAGTGTTGAAGATGATGAAACAGCGAGTCATGATAGACATCAAGAAGAACTACTAACTCCGGAGTCAGATGGGGACGCCCATGACATAGATGTACAGGAACTGGAATCCGTACATGAAGATGAAGAGCAGGAGATGCCTTTAGAACCAGAGACGCTTGATCCAGCTCATGTTGAAGATGATGCACCTCCAGTTTTGCCTCGTCGATCAGGTCGAGAGAGGACACAACCTAAGTGGTTATAGTCTGGTGATTTTGTGACGAAGTCTGCAGTTCCACATACTGATACACCTGTAGTTACACCAGCTGAGTGGAGACAGAAGGCATATTACCTATCTAGTTGTATTGACAGAGGTTTATTTTCAGGGATAGAGCTAGAATCAGGGAAGGCTTTATTAGTCATTTTGACTGTAGATCATTGATGTTTTATATTTCAGCTATACTACTGATACTATTAATATATTATATTTGATAATACTTCAGTGGATTATCCTGATTGATTTCTACACTGTTTTTATTAGTGATTGCAGTATCAGTACATTGCAGCATCAGATATAATACTATTTCATTTTTATTTTTCATAGATATTATGTTGTTAGTTTGAAATGACGTGGACGTCATTTTAGAAGCCAGGGGAGAATGTGATAGAGTGTTTTACATTAATATTTATTTTCTTTCAGAATAATTAATATTAATAAGTAGTTTTATTAAGTGTATTTTAAGAGTTTATCAATTCTTCTATTCTCTTATGCAATCTTATTTTCTTGGTATGTTATATCTTCTTAGTACTGTATTTCTACTCTATTTTTCTGGTTCATTAGCCATTGTGTCATATTATCTTGTCTTCTATTGGTCATAGTCACTGAGTTAAAAGTTTTACCACACTTTTTGAATACCTTGAGAGAAAGCTATACAATACAGCAGCCATATTTAAATAAGTTATATACATTATATTCTGGATACTAATTCCACATAAAACAGGTCAGTTACTAATATTTCTAAGTCTTTATTATTTACACAGTTTTCCTTTAGTTTGAATCTGAGAGAAAATGTATTTTTGAATAAGTCAGAATGATTGTGCATGAACGATAGATATTTTATTTTAAAGAAGTATTTTCATGAACTCAGAGAATTAATATATCATAGATATATTAATGATACATGTGTCACCGTCGTATTTATGTGTATAATTAAATGTTGATTTGTCATTCATCAGTTCATTTATTTCATTCATTCCATTTTCTGTTTCATCATACTCATTATGACGTTTGACTGAGACTGACGACATTTCTAATACACGTCACTGCACAATTTCATATACACGTCACTACACACCTGAACGATTTGAATAGAATAAAATATAGTTGCACGCACGCGGGAAAATAAATGTACGCCTTATATATATAGATATTTGCAGTTAATAAACGTGGTATCAAAGTCACTGTCTGATATTAGCCTTCACGATAATTTGGTGTATGTCCGGTTTACTGTGACAAATGGAGCCTTCAGAGAGAGAGATGACCTAGTTTTGGTGCCACGGATTTATTAGTTTAGAGTTGTCGGAGAATCTGTCCGTACTTGAATTTATTTGGATAACAGTTCATCTAGATATCTACTCGGCGGCACGATAATCCAAAAGTATACAGCGCTGTTGAGGTATATAGTGAAAAAGTTGTAAACAATTCCCGGAGTTGGATTGAAAACATGTAAAGGCATATTGGTAATGAATGTTAAGAAAATATTCATATTTTGCGCAAACCAACGAAGTGTATTAATTTGGTGAATGTTTAATTTTACATTGATAACAAAAGGAAATAGATTCATTCATTTATTTATTGTGTTGTGTCGATAACGTTCCAGTTGAGTAGCTACATAGTACATATTTTCGTTGTGTGTTTATAATCATCACAGATGTCAATTTCATTACACATTCCGCGGTGGATTCGACTGGTTTTGATATCAACAGAGTAAACAATAGTGTATTGAACTCAGACAGTATTTTATTAAATTGGAATTGATATTTAAATAGTTTAAAAATAACAATCATAATAGTTAACATTAATTACTAGAAATATTTGATTACAAGTATTATATATTCTTTATCGTGTTGAGTATTACATATATATATTTTTAAGATGTCATAGTTTATCTCATTACTTATATTTTTCAGTTTGCATTTTTGTGTGCATTGTTCCATGAACACCTGGTCCTTGCACTGTCAGATTTCACATGCACGTTAGATCATTTGACGGTAAGTTGACATTTTCATCATCATCATTTTCATTATTTGTCTTGTCTATCATCACTGTGTCTAAACTACCCCGGCAAAAAATGTTTTGACTCGATAGTATCTAATGTCCGGTACGGTGACGGACAATCAATAGACAGAGAAAAGGTAGAATTTCTGTTTATTTATTTGTTTTTTAATGACATTGAAGAATAAACATACACATATAACTATTTTCGATTGAATGATGTAATATTTTCTACAACCGTTCTAGATTAATGGAGAAATAAGTAAAAAGGCACATGAAAATGGTGAATTGAGTGAACCTTGCTACGAATTTATTTAATTTCTTTTTAAATTGAGCACATTGTACGGAAAGAAAAGTACGGAAAGAAAAATATTAACACAGAGATTGCATGGCTAGTCACTATGAGCACCTCAATATTTGCATTTCTGTGCATGGAACGAAAGAAATGGGTCATGTCAAAATGGAAGGATCCTGTTTCGTCAATGTTGTTTATTACCTAAGAACCCGGTTTTGTCTCAGTATAGGACCCGGTTTTGTTTTGTTTTGAAACCACAAATTTATGAAAAGCTACGTTAACACGGATCATCGAAAGAAATTAAATATGTGAGTCAAAATGATGTTATAAAGATGTTATTACAATACAAACATGTCGTGTTAAAATATATTTCAAACGGGAACTTTTCGAAATAGGGAGTAGACATTTTTGGATGCTATACGTATACCTTATTGAACTTATCTTCGAACTAAGTTTAAATGGAAATAAATACTTTATAGCATGTACTTGCATTAATTCCTTATGATATAAAAAAGAAGATGTGGTGTGATTGCCAATGAGACAACTCTTCACAAGAGACCAAATGACCCGAAATTAACAACTATAGGTCACCGTACGGCATTCAACAATGAGCAAAGCCTATACCGCATAGTCAGCTATAAAAGGCCCCGAAATGACAAATGTAAAACAATTCAAACGAGGAAACTAACGGTCTAATTTATGTACAAAAAAATGAACGAAAACTAAATATAAAACACAGCAACAAACGACAACCACTGAATTACAGGTTCCTGACTTAGGACAGGTACATATATACGTAATGTGGCGGGGCTAAACATGTTAGCGGGATCCCAACCCTCCCCTAACCCGGGAAATTGGTGTATCAGTACAACATAAGAACGAACTATAAAAATCAGTTGAAAAAGGCTTAACTCATCAGATGGGTACAAATAGAAATACATCTCACAAATGTTTGTTTGTTTTCTATGCTACTGTAATGATGTAAAAATAAGAAGATGTGGAATGATTGTGTTACCATATCAATGTATCAAAATAGTAAGGATAGTATGCTTTACTATACTATAAGCTATGGTTACAATATATTTACTCATTCGATCATCCATTGACGGACAGTGAGAGAAACAGTTCCGTTATGAAGGCCGTACTTTGACCTATAATGGTTTACTTTTACAAATTGTGACTTGGATGGAGAGTTGTCTCATTGGCACTCATACCACATCTTCTCATATCTATAAGAACATTTGGGATATCCCAAATCAAAAGGTTGCCTTTCGAACGTGTATTTTATGTCCTCTTCGAAATACACAAATTCTAAACTTCCCTATTAAAATCGAAATAATTCTATCATGCCATGCTCTACGCTCATTTTAACATGGGTAGGCATTATATTTGTCAATATTTTATATCTTGTTAACGCTTGGTTTAAAGTTTTTAACAAATATAATGCCTACCTATTCTTAAATGAGCATTGAGCATGGCATGAAAGAATTATTTCTTTTTATAAATAAAAGTTGGTTTGCAACATTATAACGTCCAATATCTTCGTCTTCGTCTTCGTAGAACAACCTAAGTGGCAATTTAGCCCGTGAAAAATTACAATGAGGCAGCTTTTTATCAGAGACCAAATGACGTAAAAGTTAACAAATATAGAACACCGTATGGCATCCAACAATGAGAAACGCCCATACGGCATAGCAAGCTAAATAAGGCCCCGAAATGAAAACTGTAAATAAAAACTAATGTGATCACTAACGACCTGATTTATGTACAAAATAAAAAAAAGAAAAATAAATACATGTATGATATACAGCAACAAAAGACAACCACCGATTTACAGGCTCCTAGATTCGGTACTGGCACATACAGAATGGCGGGGTTTAACGTGTAAGCGCCACCTCCACCCCCTCCCCCCCCCCCCCCCCCCAAAAAAAAAAAACTGGTATAACAGCACAACATATGAACAAACTATAAAATTCAGTGAGTTGAAAAAGGCTTAACTCATTTGATTACAGAGCCCCTATAGTAAATATGCGATTGGCGGCTGTCTCTGTTTTTTCGTCTTTTATTAAATTTTATGATGGTTTACGACATAGTTACATTATATCAGTGGCGGATCCAGGGGGTAGAGGGAGTACGACGGCTTGAATTGTAGAACACTTGTCAATGTACGATAATCATTATACAATGAAGAGATAAACCTATATATAATAGTTGTACTATATAGGGCAGTTGTTAACAACTTGATACTAGTGCATTAAAGAATTTGTTAATGTTAAAAAAAGAAGAAGAAAAAAAGAGATAAAATATTATTATACTTAGTATTATTGTAACAAGGAGGGGTAAACAAATTTTTAACGCACTATTATTGTGATCCTTTTCGCCGTATGGAAATTCCTTTTCTTGGGCGATTCTGCATGCATATACATTTGTCTTATTCTCTTGCTTTATAATGAACGTTTAGTTTGAAAATATTTATTTTCAAACGATCATACTGTCTTCCCCTTTAAGTAGAGCGGAACATTAAGATAACTATCTTGTTGTCCCAGAAAATCACATATCAAATGTGCGTCCTTAAATTTTCAAGGCCGTACACTTTTAAAGTTTGAACACTTAAATTTACATAGTTGATATAAAAAAATCTAATTGCGTTACAAAACCTTCATTTCTTTTTTAATTTTTCCTTTTTTTTATACAAAATAAAATTGAAATTTGCTTTGTTCTAATATAGCAGGAATTCAAGTGTTTACGGATTCAAAAAGGTTATTCAACGATCCCTCAAACTGCTGTTGAACGCCATATTTTAATTTTCGTCATGCGATTATGCATTATTTTCTATGACAAAACCGGGTCTGCTTTGTGAAATTTAAGGACAAAACCGGGTCGTACACATTTACAAAACCGGGTGCTTCAATTTTGACATGACCCACTTCTTTCATTCCATGCACAGACATGCAAATATTGAAGCGATCATAGTGAAAAGTCTTGAAATCTCCGTGTTAATATCTTTTTTTCCGTACTTTTCTTTCCGTACAATGTGCTCAATTTAAAGAGAAATTAAACAAATTCGAGGCAGGGTTCACTCAATTCACTATTTTGATGTGCCTTTTTACGTATTTCTCCATAAATCTAGAACGGTGGTAGAAAATATTACATCACACTATCGAAAATAGTTATATGTGTATGTATATTCTTCAATATCATTAAAACAACATATTAATAAACAGAATTTCTACATTTCTCTGTCTGTTGATTGTCCGTCACCGTACCGGACATTAGATACTATCGAGTCCATACATTTTTCGCCGGGTTAGTTTAGATACAGTGATCATATGTGTCTGTATACGTTTTGTATTGTGTTCCGTTTTATACATTTGAGTATTCTGCTTTGATTATGGCTGATGAAAACACATCTGTTACCGAAGCCGAGGGTAACATTAAAGGTCATGAACCTAATATGACAGAGACTGATATTGCAAAAATGAAAGCGTTTTTGTCTAAACATGGTAAATATAAAGTGCTTACTAATGAGGAGTATGACTTAATATCTTATGGTAAACCGTTGATTAAGAAAGAAGGAAGCATACCGACAGGGTATACTACTAGTACTCCGAAGCCACCTACTGATAAGCTTCCGTCTAGACGACCACCCCCTCCCCCTTTTAGAAAATACTATCACGATTTTTCAGGTCTAAATGATCAGGTGAAACCGAAAGTTAGTTTTAATTTGGGAAATCACACTCATGACGTTACTGGTAATACACCAACGTACCAAAGACCACGGTTAACGATTTTCTCTGGGGATGCAAAGAGTGAAGCTTCATTTGACGTGTGGAAATTTGAAGTTAAATGTTTGCTCCGAGAAAACTTGTACCCGGAGTTAATCATAGTACAGTGTATGAAAAATCAAGCCCGTAATACCCTGCTTACTCTTCCTGAGTCTGCTTCTCCACATAATATTCTAGAAAAATTAGAAGGTGTTTACGGAAATGTCTATTCAAATGAGACACTTTTACAGTCATTTTATACTGAGAAGCAGGAAGAGGGTCAATCAGTGGCCGATTACGGTATGAAATTAGAGGGTATATTACAGAAAGCATATGATAAAGGTAAATTAACTTCAGAAGTTAGAGATGATATGTTGAGAACAAATTTTTGGTCAGGTATCAGGGATTCTGCATTGGAAAATGCTACTAGATACAAATATGACACTATCAAGAACGTTGATGAATTAAGAAAAGAGGTAAGAGCAATTGAACTAGAGCTTCAAATTTCGGTTGCTTCTAAGCCTACAGCTACTGTCACACATCAACCAGTTACTGCTGCATCAGATATGAATGTACTTATACAGAAATTAGATGCATTTAATAAAAGGCTAGATAATTTCGAAGGTGAGTTGAAGAAAGTTAAAGATTCTCAAGGTGATGATCAACATAATAGACAAAACAATAAACCACAAGGTTCAGGTAATTATTGGAATAATAGAGGTACACAGAGAGGTAGATATAATAATAATTATAGAGGTAATGGAAGGGGCCGTAATAATTATAGAGGAGGTAACAGAGGACAGTCAGGAACAGATAACAAATTTCAGAATCAAAATCAGAATTTAAACTTCGGCTAGTCTCTGTCGCAGGGCAGACTAGAGACTTAGAAAGTAAGTATAGCCCTATTTTTAAGTCAGACTTAAGTAAGACTAAATCTTTGTTGGATAGAATGGTTGGTATTGAGAATCATTCAATTATACAGGTTAATTCGATGAAATGTAAAGCTTTGATTGATAGTGGTTCGATGATTTCAACAGTTTCTGATCATGTTTTGAAGTTGATGAAACCTGTCCCCGTAGTTAAAGATTTGGATGAATTTGAGTTATCAGTCAGTGTTGCTGGTGGTTCGAAACTGCCGTATATTGGTTATGTTGAGGTCGAGGTCCAGATACCTTTTCTTCAAGGCGAGTCTTTCTATGTTCCTATGTTGGTTGTACCTAGGTCTGATTATACAGATAAAGTACCGGTTATAGTTGATACAAACATTTTACGGTTAGGTATGGAGTTAGTACACTGTCTTGATGATGATATTTCGATACCAAAACAATGGGATGTTGCTTTTTCGTCTATACAGGATAACAGTTCAGGAGTGGTGCGTTCTTCCAATAAACGCCCGTTTAAACTGTTTCCTTCATCAGTAATGACCATATCTGGAATAGTGAAGCTAAAAAGTGACGCAAATACTGAGACTTTAGTAACCGAGAACCGCTCTATTTTGAGTGAGTTGTCAGATCAGGTGGTTGTCTGTCCCAGAGTAGTATCAGTCAAAGGTAGCGGTAAACAGAGGGTACCTGTTAGGATTTGTAATATAACAGCAAAGCCTGTTGTTATCAAACCTAAAACAGTCCTTTGTGAGTTAAGTGGAGTTACTGTTGTACGTGATGGTTTTGATGAACATGCATTGTCAGATAGTGAGACAATCAATGGAGGTAAGGAGAGTCTTGAAGAACTTGGTATTAACGTCAGAGAGGACTTGCCTGACAGTACAAAAGTACAATTAAAAGGTTTGTTAACTAAGTGGAAGTCGATCTTTTCTACAGGACCAACGGATCTAGGGTTCACTACATTAGTGGGACATGAGATTAAATTAACAGACAACATTCCTTTTCAGGAACCATATCGACGCATACCACCGTCATTGTACGAAGAGGTCCGTGAAAATTTGAAGGAAATGTTGGAAGCAGGGGCCATAAGAGAATCTTCTAGTCCCTACTCTTCCAATGTTGTACTTGTGAGGAAACCAGATGGAAGTCTTCGATTCTGTCTTGATTTTAGGAAATTGAACAAGAAGACTATTCGTGATGCCCAAAGTCTTCCACGCATAGATGAGACACTAGATTGTCTGACCGGAAGTAAGTATTTTAGTAAAATTGACCTTAGGTCGGCCTATTGGCAGTGTAACCTTAAAGAGTCTGATCGTTATAAGACTGCATTTAGTCTCGGTCCTCTAGGTTTTTATGAGTGTAACAGGCTAGCTTTTGGGTTAACCAATGCTTGTGCGACATGTCAGCGTCTCATGGAGAGATGCATGGGTGAGTTACACCTGAGAGAATGCCTAATATATCTGGATGATATAGTGATTTTTTCTAAGACAGCTGAAGAGCATATGAAAAGACTAGAATCTGTATTCAGTAGATTAAAGAAGCATGACCTAAAACTAAAAGGAAGTAAGTGTGAGTTCTTTTGGAGAGAAATTAAATACCTGGGATTTATTGTCTCTGAAGAGGGAATTAAAACAGACCAAGAAAAGGTAAAAGTGGTACGAAACTGGCCAGAAATAAAGAATGTCAGAGGTCTCAGACGATTTTTAGGATTCACATCCTATTACAGGAAGTTCGTACGAGATTATGCTAAAATAGTAAGACCACTAAATGATCTTCTGGTAGGACACCAAACAAACAAGAAACAGAAATCTAAGAAGAAGAATAAACCCAAGCCAAAGAAGTGGAAATGGGGCGATGAACAGCAAGCTGCCAGAGAAAAGCTGATAGAGGTATTGACTAGTCCACCTATTCTGGCTTTTGCCCATTATAGTCTACCATTCATTTTGAATATAGACGCCAGTGGTGATGGATTAGGCGCCATACTTTATCAACGCCAGAATGGTATCGAAAGGGTAATAGCATATGCTAGTAGAGCGCTACGTGCTGCGGAGAAGTTGTATCCGGCCCATAAACGAGAGTTTCTCACTTTGAAATGGGCGGTTACTGATAAATTTCGAGACTATCTTTATGGAAATAAGTTTGAAGTCCGCACGGATAATAATCCGCTTACTTATGTCTTGGGTAAAGCCAAATTATACGCTACATCACAGAGATGGATAGCAGAGTTAGCAGATTATGATTTTAGTTTGGTATATAGGAGTGGTAAGTCGAACGTTGATGCCGACAGTTTGTCAAGGATTGATTATGACCATCAGGAATTATTTAGCGATGCTGTTAAAGCTATATGCGAGGCTATTTTAGTTTCGTCCAGCTGTCCACCCGCTGAGAGCATTTGTATGTCTCAAACTCTAGAAGGTATAGTCGATAAGGATGACCTCGAGCTAGATACCTTTTCAGACATTTCTTGGGTTGTAGAGCAGAAGAAAGACGAAGATATAGCGAGGGCACTTGAATTAAAAAGAGCAGGACATAAACCTACGAAGAGAGAAATTGGTAAGCAACCTTTAGGTACACGCAAGTTACTTAACGACTGGAATAAATTAGTAATTAAGAAAGAAGTCCTCTATAGGGTAAGTAAACTTAACGATGAGACTATATATCAGCTCATTTTACCAGCTGCTTACAGGGATATTGCTTTGAGAGGTTTACATGACGATGCTGGTCACCAAGGCAGAGATCGTACTCTATATCTTGTCAATTCCAGATTTTATTGGCCTGGAATGAATAATGACGTAGAAGGTAAGGTGGCGACTTGTCCCAACTGCATACTAAGGAAAACTAAGAGTAGTAGATTTGCTGAACTAGTACGTATAGAGACAAGTCAACCATTGGAGATGATTTGTATAGATTTTCTCTGTTTAGAACAATCAAAGGGAGGTTATGAAAATATACTCGTGATAACTGATCATTTTACAAGGTATGCCCAGGCAATTCCTACACGGAATCAGACAGCCCAGACTACGGCTAGATGCCTTTGGGAGTTCTTCATTCAACATTATTCCTTTCCCGCACGTATACATAGCGACCAAGGCAGAAACTTTGAATCCAGAGTCATTAGTGAGCTATGTAAAATTGCCGGTATAAAGAAATCAAGGACAACCCCAGCTCACCCAAGTGGAAACGGTCGATGCGAAAGGTTTAACTCCACACTTTTAAGCATGCTTGGAACCTTGAACGACGAACAAAAGTCAGATTGGAAGAGTTACGTCCCGCCTTTAGTACATGCCTATAATGCTACAAAGCACGAGAGTACGGGATACAGCCCTCATTTTTTAATGTTTGGGTGTCATCCTCGTCTCCCGATCGACGCTTTCCTAGGCGTTGATAGAGACGTATCTCAAGGTAAGAGTCATGAATCGTATGCTAGTCAGTTAGAAAAGAGATTGCAGTATGCTTACAAGACAGCGACAAAAGTTGAACAGAAAGCTAGCAGGAGACATAAAACCAGGTATGATTTAAAGGTGAGAAATTCAGTTTTGAAGAAGGGAGATAGAGTTCTTCTCAAGAACATACATATAAAAGGTAGACAAAAGCTAGCAAACCGTTGGAATAGAGAGCCTTTCATTGTAGTATCTCAACCTGATACAAATATCCCCGTTTATGTGATAAAACCTGAGTATGGAAAAAGTAAGTCGAAGACTAAGACAGTGCATAGGAATCTACTGTTACCCATTTATTCTTTGCCAACCGAAGAGTCGGTACATCATAGTAAGAAAGAAAGAAATAGTAAGTGCACAAGTGAATCCAATAGAGTCGACGATGAGTCACAGATTGTAGAATTTGGAAAAGATACGGAATGTACAGGAAGTATTCATGAGTATTCAGATGAGTCCGATTCTGATTATGCTTTAATGCCTTTTGTACAACCAGGTCAGTACAAGGCCATACCAAGTAGTTCTCTAAATCCCTCGGCTGAAGAGTTTAGTCCATTGAGTCCAATAGCTTCGGGATCCCAAAGGAATCAAACTCATGACTCAGATATTCAAAATTTGAGTAATGGAACAGGTAATGCAAGTTCTACATATGGTCCGGGTACACAGTTATCGTCCTTTGATTTTCGTTGTCCACAAATATAGTCCCTAGTGTGGACAGTGTGTTACTTGTCGATTTTTTTTATACCCCTTCCGAATTTATTTCTCCATGTTTTATGACTCAAATAGTAAGTAGGGGGGGTGAAATGACACTGTAAAAAAATTTGGGTCATGAATTTTAAAGTAAAGTAGTGATTTGGTCCAGCTGAAAAATGTTAAAAATTAGCACTTCGGAGGCTGTCAAAAGATTTGAAGACCCCCTTAGCATGAAATTGTCCATATTTTGAGTTAGAGCCGATGAAGTTTTCTATAATTTTGATATAATTTGTCCCAAAAGTAGTACAACACACTGTAAAAATATTATTGAGAAAGCGCAGGTGGGATTTTTTTAATTTTCATTTATTGTCTAAAAGAAATGCACTACGAAATAACTGTGTACTCGGACCATATGGAACACATACGGGTCTCTCGAGTCGACATATTGATGAGACACTTAATACTAGTAGTAGATTAACGCATGAGCAATCCTCATTAATTACTCCGAATTCAGATATTTCCAACGAGGTAAGTAGCGTTCCAGAAAGTACACATGTACCTGTGGAACAGTTCAATGAACCGGTTTTACGTCGCACATCTAGACAGTCTAGGAAGCCAGATCGCTATGGTGATTATTTGTATTTTTAGGGAAAGTACTTATTTTTGTTTTTTTGTTTTTACATTTCCTTGTATATTGCTGTTTTCTTTGAAATATTTTGCTCGATAATCTTGGTTTGCACAGAGAGGCGGTGGCCACCTGAGCATATTGAGAGGTCGATCGGAAAGTTTGATATTTTAACAGTGTTAGTACATAGTATTGTTTTACATTCCAGGTATGTATAGTAGTTCTTACATTTTTGCGTCAAGTCGTGGTAGTAGCATGAGTCAAGTAGATTGTAAGCAGGTTAACATTATTCCTGGTGGTACTTATGATAGGTTGTGTAGTCTGGCTGAAAAGCGACTTCATAATATCGTTCATCCTAAGATAGTATATTTTGTTGCCGGGATTCCAGATATATGTTCTTTGGTGCGTATCAAGAACGAAAAATATGAAGAATCATATCTTTATTTAGAGAAGGATCATGTTGCACTTATACAAGAAGCTATGTCAGATGTTGAGAAACGTATGAAAAATATAGGATGTAAAGTTGTTTTCGCAACTATAACAACAATGAGTTTCCAGAAATGGAACACTCACAGGAAATTCATTGGTAAAACTGTCCGCCTGAAAAATGAGTCTGATTACGAGAGAATGCAGGAACAATTAAATATAATTTTACACTCAGTGAATACATATATTGTACAGAAGAACTTAGAAAATGGTGTTGTAACCCCTTTCTTACACGCTTTTGTTCATAAGAGGTGTAAAAGTAAAATTCGTTATATTTATTCAATGTTAGTTGATGGAGTACATCCTACTCAGGCATTTAGTGCCTCATGGGCACGTCATATGGAAGCCACGATGGATAAAAATGAGCGGAATTTATAAGTATTTGGTATAGGGTATTTGCCGATATACATTCTGCGATAATTCAGGGATGAATTTTTTGTTTTGGTGGGGGAATATGTCACCGTCGTATTTATGTGTATAATTAAATGTTGATTTGTCATTCATCAGTTCATTTATTTCATTCATTCCATTTTCTGTTTCATCATACTCATTCTAATACACGTCACTGCACAATTTCATATACACGTCACTACACACCTGAACGATTTAAATAGAATAAAATATAGTTGCACGCACGCGGGAAAATAAATGTACGCCTTATATATATAGATATTTAGTATTTCATTAACTGAATAACTGCCTTTCTGTGTGGATGCTTAAATGCTAAAGCAATATTTGCAGGTTAGTTAATTTTGTTATTTGAAAAGTTTTATTTACAGTTTCTCGATAGAAATTAAAAGTTATATGGAAATATTATGATAGTTTTATCATAAAAATCTACAATAAGATACTATACGGCTTTTCCTTACTTTTTACATAGTTTTATAGTAAGTTAAAAATTACTGAATTGCAGCTATAAATTGTCTTATTTGCAGTATTAATTCATGGCGAAATTTTGAAGTGTTTTGTTGAATTCATTTGTCCGTCAGTTCTTGTCTCTATTTAGTTTGTGGTTTTATATTTAGGTTATGAATGAATGTAATTGTTTTCCGAATTTGTTGAAAGATTTGTATATGTTGAAATAAATATATATTTGCAGTTAATAAACGTGGTATCAAAGTCACTGTCTGATATTAGCCATCACGATAATTTGGTGTATGTCCGGTTCACTGTGACACATGTATTGGTACAGTTATATTATTATTATAAAAGGTCTAAAGCAATGTCTATTGAACATTATACTTATTGTGTATAAATGTTATGCAGATATAATTTAGTTCATATTATATTTGTATTTTTAACAGGACCAGAATATCTCGATGTTATTGTGATCTGGTGATGCTTCAAAATAGGAGATAGACCTTTGTACCATATACATGGTAAGATCAGTGTTTTCAATGTATTTTTAGTTTACTGTTTTGTCCGTGTTTGTCTATTTAATTTAAGTTCAGTAAATGTATTGTTTGTGTCTTGTGAATAGTAGTTACCTGTATGTCAATAATTACATGTAAACATTATAGTATCAAATAGTTCATTCATAAATCAATGAATGATTAACGTAAGATTATTGGACATAATGTAGCACTTAATCCTGACTTGGTTTACAATTAAGTTTGATTGAATTTATATATTTATAAAATATACACTTTAATAGTATTGGTTGTATTCTTATAGAAAAGAGCCAGTTTATCGTATTTTATACATGTACTTTCCGTTATAAGAATTAGAGTTATATCCCTTTGTACACCGTATTGTCTATGTATTTATGTTTTGTTATTTGTGTACTTTCAGGGTCATTTATATATGTCGTATAAATAAACATCTTAAACATCTAGACGAATCATTTTATTCCGTCCAAGAACCCTGTTACATTATCAATTCCAAACCAGCAGTTCGACAACATTCAGTCTATCGCTTGAACCGTCATAAAACTATAACACTTCCGATACTTGTCAACGTTAATGACACTAATTACCTACTTAGTGTAAAATTCGATGATAAAAGGTTCTGAAAACTGACAATTTGTTAGATTGTATTGTTTGTGCTTGAAAACAGATTGTATTATAGAAAAACAAAGGACATGGGGTATCTATCCATGACACAAAATCAGTAAATGCACAGCAAAAACACACACACAAAGCAAAGGAACAGCTCTTGTATTGCTGTTCTTGTATTGTTTTTTGTTTTGAATTAATCACAAGAGATGTGTTTTTTAAACACTAAAGAAGTATTGGAACAATAGTCAAATATATACGATGACTGAAATTTGTTTTTTACTTATGATTTGTATACCTCTTAAGTATATATATACACCTCGCCAAAAGTTAAGCAACACCTAAATGTTTTTGCTTCTATTTTTTGTTTTAAAATTAAATTTGATACTGCTTTGTTTCCATATATTTTGTTAATCTATTGTTAATCGACAGGAAAGAATTCAGGTATAAATTCTATTCCTAGGTTACTTAAAAAACAGGTTTTCTAAAGCTACATACAAGTTTTTTCCTTGCAAGTTCCGTGCATCAAATGTAACTGTTAACCCCAGACTAAATTTTGCCAATTTACGTGCCCGTAGACCAGTCAAAAGACCATTGCTGACTCGTAAACATCGTCAAGCTTGACATCAGTGGTCACGTGGTCACAGCAATTGGATTTTGAGACAGTGGCATCAAGTCCATTGGTCTGATGAGAGCAGATTCCTCCTACATCATATTGATGAGCGCATGCGCGAATGGCGTCCTCGGAATACAGCATACAGGAAACAGCACATCCTTGGAACTACAGCGTTTGTTGGTGATAGTTTTACAGTTTAGGGATGCTTTTCATTCGACTGCAAAATGGACCTTTATTTTCTGGATGGGACTATGGCGGGTAAAAAATATCGCGATAACATCATACGGGATATCGTTGTGCCACATTTTGACAATCACAATCTTGCAACTAGACCAATATTCATTGACGATAATGCTAGGCCACACAGAGCACGCATTGTTTCAGATTATTTACGTCAGGAGGTAATTGACACTATTCCTTGGCCACCCATGTCACCGGATATGAATCTCATTGACCATGTCTGGGATGATATTGGTTGAAAAATCAACAACAGGGTTCCAGCTAGTAAGAATTAACAGGAATTACGAGCAGCCTTGATTGAAGAATGGCAAAGAATTCCTGCTATAACATTACGACGCTTAGTTCACAGCATGAGACGACGTGTGGGTGAACTTTTCCGAAAGCGTGGAGGATACACTCGCTAGTGACCTAAATTGTACTTTAATAGATTCACAAATTGTCACTCTCGAGTTTTAAAAAGAAGTTTTTGTATAGTGCAGAGCAAATTTTTCAATAACTTCAGTATAAGTTGAAACTCTATCTTGTATTTCATTTTGCCATTTTACAACCATTTGCCCAAAATGAAATAGTCAAAAATTCAATCATGAAAACAGTCCAAACTTTCACTTTTCAATTAACATTCTATATGTTATCTTATAAAAACACAAATTCAGTTCATTGTATCGATATTTCGATTAGTTATGAATTCAGTAAAAAACGATTCTGGAAAATTATCAGGTGTTGCTTAACTTTTGGCGAGGTGTATATATATTTATTGATATTTAAAAAAAAAGTAGCCACCAATAGGGACAAACTGATAAAATTGAGAATGGAAATGGGGAATGTGTCAAAGAGACAACAACCCGACCAAAGAGCAGAAAACAACCCAAGGCCACCAATGGGTCTTCAAGACAGCGAGAAAGTCCCGCACCCGGAGGCGGGCTTCAGCTGACCCCTAAACACAAATGTGTACTAGTTCAGTGAAAATGGACTACTATTCTACAATTGTTGTCAATTGTTTATGAAGGAATCTTGATTTTATAGGTCATATTTTGTAAATAAATATCATAAACAATCATTTAAAAACCGGACCAATTAGAGGTTACCGTAATAATTATTTCAGAAACACAATATTCAGATTATATCTAGTTGTTGATACAAAATTCGTAAACACAGCTAGTTGTTTTGATGTTTTATCTCTGTTTTAAGAAGTTCTAAGATTAATCTGTCTGTTATTTTTATTGTCTTATCAACTCAGTCTGCGTCAAATGACTATATTGGGCTCAATGCATTACGGCTTTTTATAAGGTCTTATACATTACTTGTTGTAAACGGCTTGAGATAAGGTAATCTATAAACAGCAGGAAAACGGTCAATGGCAGAACTTCTGTCCGTTATCTTATAGTTATGTTTAATACATTGACTTCGTCTAGTTAACAAACGTATAGATATAGCCATACAAATCCAAGTCTTAACACTGAATTACTATGGTAAACAATATTTAAAGTTCAAATTCAAGTTCAAGTTCAATATTGTATTGTCAATTAAAGACACTTAAACCAAACAGAATAATCATTTTTAATTCAGTCATGTAAATTCCATATTACTTTGTGTGTTTTTATTTAAGGGGGTACCCAACACTTTGACTAAAATAGATTTGGCTCGTTTAATTTTCATAAAATTTTGGCAAAATATTTACTTTGACCTGTTGACAAAAATATAAATATTTCAAGAAATTTGAACCACACAATTTACAGAAATAATTTTATTGGATATATAGCAGTTTGACAAACACTTATTTTGGTCATAGAGAAGCTTTAATTCTCTTTACTAACAGTATGTGAGTAAAACGTTCAGCTGATTTTTAAAGAGTTAACTCCCTTAGGTTTTCTGTACCCCTTAAGAGTCAGGATTTTAAATGTAACAGTACGGTATCCAAGATATGGCTCTAAACACACTCAACACACGAAACATTGACTAGACAGTCTACTTTCAATATAAGAATACGGAGATGTGGTATGATTACTAATGAGACAACTATGATCCACCAATAACTTCAGTGCAAGTATGTAAACAACAACAGGTCACCATACGGCCATCAACAATGAGCAACGCACATGCCATATACACTGTGTTAAGCTATAAAAAGCCACGGATTACAACATATGAAACAATTCAAAAGGGGAAAAAACAATGGCCTATTTTATGCCGACAACTATAAAATATAACGTTGCAATTTTTTTTTTCTGAATACATTACTTTTACTATGTATCATACTTATGAGACATCATTTTTCAAAAATATACAGAAAAAAATCTGAAAATTTAATGGATTCACACGGTCAAGTTCACAAGACTATCAAATTTCAAATGATTTGCTATATTTTATCCTCCTTGGATTAAAATAAAACTAATTATCCGGCCACATCCACTTGTATTTGTAGTATTTGTATTTTTATTCATCTGATGAGTTAAGCCTC